TACCACCTGTCGTACAATTCTGCGGAAGTGGCCAGTGCTACCATCTCCGACGCTGGATATGTTATCAAAAGTTTAAACGGCTACCGGAAGAAAAAAGTTACAAAAAGCATAACCTTTAGAATCCATAAGCGGGCATATCGAGATGGAGCTGGTGAAAACGAAGAGGATCGAAAGCGGGGTGGCAGGTACGTGTGAAACAGACATTGCGATATCTAGGTCATTTTTTTCCAATGTGATAACTAAAAACTTTCCTAAAATAAAGCTAAATTATAAAATACCGTTTTTCAACAAATCTCTTCTTGCACGATTTCCGTTAACTTAACTACGAAACCACATAATTTTTCAAAACATTAGTGGTACGTTTCTGTAATTGAATTAATGTTCTCAAAATGTACTTGAAAATAGCCGCCATTCTACCATTGAGGAAACGACGATAGAAATCTTTCCGATGCCTGATTGAAATATCATAGCGCTTCTATGCTTTTAATGGACTCTCATGCAGCACTTCATAAAATTAGTTTTTCTGGTCTGCATCCCATGTAGCAATGAGACGTTAAATCAACTGAAAAGAGTGCTGCTTGCAGAAATTATATTTTCGTTTTATAGACCTTTTTCACAAATTTTAAAAACGCTACATTTGTAAATGCCTTCGTTTTTTTCAAACTTTTACATTAGTTTCGTTTTGCGGTATATGCGAAGATCGCCGTATGTTTTGATACTGACATTTTCATTACAATTGGGAATTGCACCTTTTGTCTCGCTTTTTCTATTTCAAAAGTGCTGAATCAGTTTTTCGAATGTATGTGTCTGCTTATGCTTAACATTCACTTCGTTTATACTGTTGTTAGGAACATGTTATCCTTGACTGGTTTTATTTTTCCCCTGATTACTGCTCGTTCGTTATAGCCTCGGAAAGTGCTGTATTGACACCATATTTTGTTCCTCATATTCATGCTGTGATTTAGGGATGCTTGCAGAATGTGGTTGGCAACGAAAGGATCGATGCTCTGTTGCCAGCACTGCTTCATAAGGCTAGGTCGCATAGCAAGTTTTTCGCATTCTTGGCAAAGTTCACGATTTCTGACGTCAAATGATTTCCCCTACCTCAATACTTATGGTAAGGTTTGACCTTAATGCGGGTCATTTACGACTATGATTACTGATAACTAGTTTGAACTTAAGCAGTCTAATCCAAAAGTCGCGAGAAAACTTGGTTGTCTCTATGGCTTAATAGATTTTTTTACTATGTTCTTTTTTGCAAGCCAGTTTGAACTAGTAGCAAGAAGAAAGGAATTGTGTGGCAACGTTGCAATTCGTATTTTTGTGATTATAATTTGCGGGAATTGAAAAAAAGAAAAACTGTAGCGAACTTTAAGAATTTACTTTATTTCCTTCAGCATGTTTTAATTTTTAATATTTCTCATTTTTGTAATTCATTCTATACATTATTTGGTTTATATATGACACAAAAAATTAAGTATTTTTTCGATGACCTAAACTAAGTAAAATACGATATTCACAAGTCTTATTTTACCAGTATATACCGCTTTATTCCCATGCACTACGAGGAAGATGCAGTTTCACAGGCTATGTGAATATTGTTATACCAAGAGTCAGCAATTGCTGAAATGTTAGCTGGTCCTAGTTTAGCATGTTAACTCCGCTAATTCAAGCAGTAAGTTTTTTTGATTGATATCTCTGGGATAAAATTTGTATACATTTATGTCATATTAACTTGACAATGAGCACTTTTAAAGACTGAGAATGAAAAAATTCTTTTCCAGAAATTCTCTTTCTGCTTCAAACAGAAAGCTTTCGATCGGTGTGCACTCCCGTTGACAACCTGTGGATGCAAAACTGGGATTTTAAGCCTGGAAGCTATTCATAAATTGTAACTAGAACCGGCCATCAATGAGCCTAATCAAAATAAACTGGTTTCCAAGAGAGACTAAATGGTTCTTGTGGGAGATCGCAAGATCGAATGCAGGCTGAGCTGTAGAATTTGCAAATAGATGAGAATCACTCAAAACAGAAGTTTATGGCCAAGTGTTGTAAAAGCCTTAATCTAGCAGAGAATCGAAAACGGCAGATGATGATAATATTTCA